CCAATGATTAGCTGTGCAATTCTGGGCAAGTGACTTAATCTCTCTGAGCCTCATTTTTCTCAATTGTAAATGTGAATAATGTCAGTAAAAGGGCTTAGCACAGGGCCTGGCTCATGGTAAATGCTCAATACATGGAAGCAGTAAAAATAACAATGGTGATAATTATAATGGTTGTTTTTTTAAATTATTATAGAAACCTCTGAGTGTCATGGAGGAATGACAAGATTTTGAGTCAAGACTTAGCAGTTTCCTATGTGACTGTGGCAAATCACTTCACCTTGAAGTCTCAGCCTCCTTATCAGTGAATTGGGGATAATAACAGCTGCTCATTTATTCATATCCTGAGTATTCAGTAAGCACCTATGCCTGGGAAAATATTAAGCTTCCAGGATAAATCAGACTTATTCCTGCCCAACAGGGCACCCAGGCATATGGGAAAGGGAAAGAAAGGAAATGGTATTTGGGGAGGCCCTCTGTGTGCCAGCTGCCAGGCAGGGCAGGAAGGCCTGGTCCAGCCCCGGGACCTGCAGCTACAGAGCGCAGAGCTGTTAGTGCAGACGTCCCGAGTCTCCTGTGTATGGACCACACACTCAGGTGCACTCAGGGACGGGGCAGGAAGCCAGATGAGGGGAGGAGGGTGCCTGTGGCACTGTGTTGACAGGGAACACATGGTCAGCATACCTGAGGCAGGTGCTGTGCCTCCACTGACGATGGCCAGGAGGGATGTGTGCACCTGGTGTCACCAGAACATGCTCCTTTTAAAGGCAACCTAGAAGTTGTGTGAAATCTCCTGACTTTAAAATGTTGATAACTAATCTCAAATGAAAGAAAAATATTGTACAGGTCAAAGGGCACACATCTGCATCCTGTTCTGGCCTGAGGTCCTGGTTTTCAGCCTTGGCTGTGGCGTGGGGATGGGTGGGAAGTCTGAGGAATGGGACCCCCCCGGGGGCAGGAGGGGCCATGTGCGTGGGGATGACTTCAGAGAGGTGATGACATTGGAACTGGGGTCTTGAAGGATGAATAAGTGTCCCGGGGGTAGGGGAGGCATTCCAGGCAATGGGAACGTCATTAGAAAGGCCTAACTGCTTGACCAAGATTGGGGACTGGTTGGGCGAGGCTGCAGTGTGGCTGGTGATGTCAGCAGGGCCAGGCAGAGTCCGGGCCCTGGACAGTAGGGGTGGTTGAGGCCTCAGTCTCCAGCTGTCTTTGAGGCTTTGGTGGCTCCAAAGGGGTTTAGAAACCTTCCAGCTCCCCATCCCTGGAATCCGGAGTTCTGGCACGAAGGCTAATGGAGGCCACAAATGACTGGGGTCAGACCTGTGAAGGGGTTCGGGGGCGGGTGGGGGAGCAATGCTGGAGACTAGTGCTTATTCACAAAGCTCCTGGCTCCTCCCACCCCCACCTCAGGTACTTGGACTTCTCTGGGGACTGGCTGATGGGCCCATAGTCTTGCTTCCTTTACCTTCTCTCTAGCCTGGGCTGGGCTGGGTTTTACCATGGCTTTCTCCCTAACCTCCTGGCTTCTGACCTTCTGGCCCCTCCTTGCCCAAGCATCTAGTTCCTGGGAAAGGCCACAGCCTCTGCAAATAGATTCAGAGGGAGCACGCAGAGCTTTGCAGTGTTCATGGCTCAGTTATCGCCACGTGATGCAATAAACAACAGGCACGATCATAGCTGCTGACCCTCCGTGCTATGCGTCAGGCATGGCTCTGAGCACTGTATGTGGATCAACTCACTGAATTTTCACAATGGGAAAATTGACGTACCCTGGGAAGTATGTCACGTTTTTCCAGATCAGGAAACGGTGGCACAGAAAAGTTCACTTGCCCAGATTCCACAAGTGCTAGGTGGCGGGCTTGGGTTTGAACGGAGGTGCCTGGCTCCATTAGCCTAGGGCTTTAGGTCCATGGATGGGTTCGGGGTCACAGGGTCTGGACTTCTTGAAATCATTACAGCATTTTCCAGGGCATGTGCATGTTTTTTGATGGAAAAATGTTATATGATTCCCACAAGGGTCTGTGTCCCCCAGATGTCTGAGAGGCTGCTGATTGCATCATTACCACACACGCTGCTAGTGCAGCAGACCGAGGGCCAGTGCCTGCAACGCGCAGGCCTGCAAGGGAGTGAGGCAAGCAGGGCGCCCTCGGAGCAGCTCTCCCTCACCGACACGTCTGTCCTGGCCCCGGGCCAAGGGGTGGAGCTTGCTGGGATCGCTGGGCAGGTCCCTTATCAGTGGGAGGAGGACACAGGTGCACCCCAGGCATACACAGGACCAGTCGCTGGGCCCTCCTGACTCACCAGGAAACTTGTCCCTTTTGCCTGCTGTCAGCTGGGACTCCTGAGGCCTTGGAAAGCCCACACACTATCTCAGCTCCAGCTGCGTGTGGTATGTGCCCCTCCCCTTCCTACCCCTGCTCAGCCCTTACTGTCCTGCTGGTCAGCTCAGGTGCCACTTCTTCCCGGAAGCCTTCCTCGGCCCCTCGGCGGCCTCCAGGCCTCTCACACACCCTCCCTTGCCCCTGCCTTATCGGTGCCTGTTTCCGTGGTGGCCTCGGGCTCCCCATGGTGCTGGCACATAGTAGGGATTGAATTGCAGACTATCAGCGGTGGAAGAGTCCCCAGAAATCCTCTGGCCCAGACTCCTCTCTAATGGACAGGAAGCCCAGAGAGTGAGGGGCAGGCTGTGCTCGGGTCACACAGCACATTCTGACAGAACTGGGAGCAGACTTGGTGACTGAGACTGTCCTCCCCTTGCTTCTGAGCACACCTTTATTGTTGTTGTTGTTGACAGTATTACAGCTGTCCCCCTGTTTCTCCCCTTTGCCCTCCTCCACCCCGCTCCAGCCCCACCCCGGGCCTTCAGCACACTGTGTTGTTTGCGCTTGGGCTATGCATATAGGCACAGAAGAGCTTCGGTTAATCTCTTCCCACTCCCTCTCCTCCCTTCCCCCTGAGATCTGTCAGTCTATGAGCATATCTTCTGAAAAACATTGTATTTTCTTATTTTCACAAAGATAACATGATTATTATAGGAAATTTAGGAAACGAACAAAAGGAAGAAAATAAAAACCCCTCTGAGATAATCATAGTTCACGTTTTTTTGGATTTAGTACCAGTTTCTGGCCTCTGCATAAAATCTTTTCCCCCAAATATGCCAATGCATCCTGTTTTACACAGTTTTCCGCTTTAGCAGTCTGTATGGTAATCCTATCGCTGTGTCAGTTATGTGCTTTGACGTCTCGTAAATGGCTGCCTGGAATGCCGTCACGTGCTTGTGCTGTGATTGCCCGAGACAGTCCCCGTTGTTGGGCATTTGCTTTTGCAAACGGCATCTTTTGCTGTTACTAATAGCACTGGGGTGTGTTTTTGCGTGGAAATCTTTATACGCTTTGCCATTAAGGATAAGTTCCTAGAAGTTCTCTGGCATGCCATGCCGCACCATGTGGAACACCCTGGATTGCCTTGGAGCTGGGGGGAGGGGGACTTTGAAGATCTTCACCCCTAAGTCTGTGTCTGAGGCTTACATTCCCTCCCCAGCTGCACCAGCCCAGGCCCTTGCACCTCTGTCCCTGTCCCGACCCCCATCGCCCTGGGGTGCTCTCCTGCTAGCCTTCAGCAGCTGCTTCCACTCATGTTGAAGGGCGAGTGGAGGGCTGTGTTTGTGGGAGTGTCATTTGGGGTGATGGAACTGGGGCCTTAGGATGGATGGGTGGTCTCATCTACTCTCCAGAGAAACGCATACAAGCAGCATGCCTGTCCGGGGTTGGCTGAGGGGGAGACTGGAACCCAAGTTCTGGCTGCCTGGGGCCCTGCCTGCCTTCCCTCAGCACGCTCGGGGTCCTGGTGTGTGTACCTGTGTGGCATGAGCCCTGAGGGGGAAAGATGCTGGTTGCATTGGGGCAAATAGTGACAGCTGCCGTTTCTTAGGTATTGTTGGCGCCTCGCTCCTGGGCTGATGGACTCAGTCCTCCCTCAGCCCAGCCCTGCGGCCCAGGTGTGATTCACAGGTGAGGCACCGGTGCTAGAAGGGCCCTTCCAGCACAGCTCAGCGCCGATGCCTCACAGCTCTGGCTTGGCTGTTCTGCCTGAGCCTCAGTCTTTTCATCTGTCAGATGGGGCTGCTGGGCCCATTCAGAGATAAATGGGGGAGAGGGAGAGCATTGCAGGTAATTGAGAGAGAGAGAGAGTGAGAACATGGTGTTTGAGTGTGATTTAGAATTACACCTCTAGCTCCCAGGTCTGGGAAGTGTCTATTGTCTTCCTTCTTCCCACTTCTGGAGCTTTCTTGGTCTGGTCTCTGACTCTGATGACTATAACTAATAGCGGGTGCCATTGTAGACCTCAGAAGTGGATGTTGCTGTCAGTCATGTATACACCTTGTTGGACTTAATCCCCCACCCAGCCTGTCTTGTGAGCTGGGTACCACCGGCCCCCGTTTCACACATGGGAACGTGGACACTCCGAGAGATTAGGGAGCTCTGGCAGACCATTCAGCCAGGTTAGGCAGCAGCACTTGACCTTGGGCCTGCCTAGGTCATGTCCGGTGCATCCACCATCAGCGGACCGACAAAGCCCACACTCTGACTCTTCCCTTTCTGACTTCTCTCCACAGCCTCGGCCCCGGGGCCCCGCCAAGCCCGCAGCATGTGGCATCCCCGGGCCTGCCCAGTGTCTTCCTGCCTGCTGCCCGGCCCCCCCAGGAGGCCCTGACGCCCTGGGGTACTTCTGCTGTGCACAGGACCACGTGGGGGTTTGCCATGGTGACATAAAGGGGCGAGGAGAAAGGAAGGAGCACAACCAGCCTGCGGACTGTGCCCCTGGCTGGGAGGAAGGGCCGGCGGCCTGGATCCTCCCCTCCTGCTGCCCGCTGCGGGCCTCGCTTGCTAACTGTCTGTGAATTCGTTGGCCCGTGGACAACTCCGGTGTCTCCTTCTGCGTGGGGCCTGGGGTGGCCAGGACAGGCCGGGCCTCCGGTGGCCGAGGTCTCAGGGGCCAGGATGCCCGCCCTGGCGCGCCTCCGCAGGCTGGGTCGGCACGTGTCCCCACAGGCCATCTTCTTCCTGCTGTTTGTCTTCTGCGTGTTCAGCGTGTTCGTCTCCGCCTACTACCTATATGGCTGGAAGCGGGGCCTGGAGCCCTCGGCAGACGCCCCCGAGCCTGACTGTGGGGACCCGCCCCCCGTCGCCCCCAGCCGCCTGCTGCCGCTCAAGCCCGTGCAGGCGGCCGCCCCCTCCCGCACGGACCCGCTGGTGCTGGTGTTTGTGGAGAGCCTCTACTCCCAGCTGGGCCAGGAGGTGGTGGCCATCCTGGAGTCAAGCCGCTTTAAGTACCGCACAGAGATCGCCCCGGGCAAGGGGGACATGCCCACACTCACCGACAAGGGCCGCGGCCGCTTCGCCCTCATCATCTACGAGAACATCCTCAAGTACGTGAACCTGGACGCCTGGAACCGGGAGCTGCTGGACAAGTACTGCGTGGCCTACGGCGTGGGCATCATCGGCTTCTTCAAGGTACGCAGGGCAAGGGGTCCCCAGGCAGCTCCGAGCTCCGGCTACGATCGGATCCCATCTCCACACTGGATAGCAGAGTGCCTGGCTTTCCCTGTCTGTAAAATGGATGTCATGGTAGCACCTGCCTCCCAGGGTTTCTGTGAAGGTTAGATGGATGAGTGTATTTAAGGCACTTGGGGCACACTGTGCCTAGTGCGTAGGTGCTTTTTAAGGATTAGCTTTTATTAGGATACAGGGCAGGGGATTGTCTGCCATGCACGGGACTTGGCAGATAGCAGGTACTTGCCTGAAGGAGGCCCCAGGGAGGGGTGAGAGGCAGGAGAGGACATGCTCTGCCAGGTCCCTCAAAACCTGTCGTGGCAGTCCTCCTGAGGGGTGGGCAGGTCGTCCCCATCTTGCAGGTGAGCAAACCAAGGCCAGGAGGGTAAGGTTATGTATATGTGTCCGTGTAGCCTATAAGTGGAAGAGCCAGGATTTGAACCGAGACTTAGACAGTTTGGGCACTAGCTCACAGGCTCTTCCCTCGGAGGTGGGTAGAGTGTGGGGTTTATGCGCCTCCTGAATTGGAGCCATTTTGCATTGGGAGAAAGGGGGAGGAGGGGAGTCCCAGTGGGCAGACCAGCTGCCCTGGGCTCATGGGTTACCCAGAATGACTGCTGGGATCAGAGTCCTTGTTGACAGTGGCCTGGAGAAGCTGTCCTTCGGGAGGGGGTGGTTGGGGACAGCTGGATGGACACCCAGAGGCTCTGGCCAAAGGACTTTGAACCGCCAGATGAAAGCAAACTTTGGTTGGGACTCTAGCCGAGTGCTTGGGGGCATTCGTTCCTCAGTTCAGTCAGTTCGTACTGAGCACTAGCACGTCCGAGGCCCCGTGCTGTGCACTGGGACACAGTGGTGATCACATGTGCAGGGTCCCTGCTGTCACGGAGCTGACATTGCAGTGCCGTGGGGAGGGGTGGGTGACAGTGAACAAATACACCCTGTGGCAGGTGGTGGTGCCTTCAAAAAGAAATCAAGCAGGCCAAGGGCACGTGGGTGACGGGTATGGCGGTTGAGACTGTTTTTGATGTAGTGGCTGGAAGGAGGTGAGGGAAGGGGATGTGGCTCTGTGTCAGGAGCCTTCTCGGAAGAGGGTGGTAAGTGCATGGGTCCTGAGGCAGGCTCTTGCTTGGCATGAGCAGGGAGGGGAGCGGGAGGTGGCTCAGAAGTGGCCCATGCCCACGGTGGGATGACGATCCACCCCACGAGTTTGTGTACTTCCCTGTGCTGGGAGGAGCCTGGCGTCATGACAGGTTTCCCATGGCATGTTCCTACACGCGCTAATGCAGCAGGACGCTCTGCCATCCACTGAGGTTTTGTGGGCCTAGGAATCGAAGGCTCTTAGGAGTCCTGCAGTGGAGCAGCCTGGTGAGATTTGTTCCCCAACTGGCCTGATCACAAAGCCCTTTGCCTCACAGATCACCCCCCGGGAAATGCTGACCTGGTTTATGGCTTTATAGTGGCATAAAGTCAGACTCCCTTCGTTGTCTGTTTCTTCTTTTCTCCTGGACTCTGTTCCCTCTCCCTCCATGAACTTCATTAAGATCGAGTCAGAGCCCCAGGCCTGACATTTATTGAGTGCTTACCCAGAGCCATGCCCTGCCTGTCCTATATGCTTTACATGCATTAACTCATTGAGCACTCATAAACCGCCCTCCAAGCCAGGTAGATGCCATCCTGATTTAAGAGGAAGGAGATAGAGGCAAAGAGGGGTGAGGAAATGTGCCCACGCTCCCACCTCCAGTGAGTACAGACCCAGGTGTCCGGCTCTATAGGCCTTAGTCACGGCCATCATGCAGTGAGTTCAGGAACCTCAGACCATTTATTTAGTAGAATTTGCATCAGAGGCCACATCCAGTGCACAGAGCTCCCAGTCTCTGGAAACCAGGCAGTGGACTGTTGTCCTTGGGCACAGTTGGACAGCTGAGAACTTGGACCCCATCTAGCCCCAGTCCTTGCGCTACAGGTGAACATGAGGCCCTGGGAGGGGCAGGGACATGCTTAGTAGGGTCAGTGGCAATTCCAGGTCTTCCTGCTCTTCCTACCCTATTGCATAACAGGAGACTCCCACTTGGTTTTGAGCAGAGACCTGTGACTTTTTACTCTTACTGGCGCCCTCTGGTGGTCAAGATATACATTTTGGGGCTCTTTCTGCAAGGCCACCTTCAGCACTGTGCATTGGGTTGGCCAAACTCAGATGGTTTGTGGACCCCAGAGATCTGGAGACTCATTTTCCAATCCCCACTGGTGCTGTATTCCCAGTGCAGCATGAGAGCAAGGGCAAAAACGTCCAGACCCTTGGTTAGATCTTATTGTCACTTAAGAGAAGAGCGACCTTGGACAGGGTACTGCTCAAGCCATCTGTAAGGTGGAGCCAATTACAGTTCCTGCCTCACTGGGCCATGTTGAAGATAAAGCAAGACGGGGTGGGAACACTGGTACAGTGCCTGCTGCCTGCAGCCGCCCAGTAAACGACAGCTGCCATCTTTGTCATTTCTGTGTCTAGCAAACAGCTGGTGGCAGCACTGAGTCTTGTCTCTGAGTCCTGCACTCACGTGAGGTCCTTAAGGGTGGAGCAGGTCTTCCTTAGCCCCAGTTCCTGGGACTGACAAGAGCTATCCGACCTTTTTTTTCTTTACACTTACTATGTGCCAGACACCAAGTTCATTGCTTTGCTTGCCTTACTATATGTAACTCTCACAACTGCCCTGTGAAGCAGACACTCCCTTAATAGGTAAGGAAGTAAGTTAAATGGCCTGGATGGTGTGGCTCAGTTGGTTAAGCGTTGTCCCATGCACTGAGAGGTCACTGGTTCAATTCCTGGTCAGGGCATATACCCAGGTTTCGGGCTTGATTCCCAGTAGGGGAAGTGCGGCAGGCAGCCTATACATTTTCTCTCTCATCAATGTTTCTCTTTCCCTCCCCCTTCTCTCTCTCTAAAGTCAATAGCAACGTATTTTTTTGAAAGTTAAGTGGCTTTCTAGGATGACACAGCCAGTAAGTCAGAGCCAAGATTTGACAACCACACTCCTGGCTTCTAACCCAGAACAAGCTGACCCGAGTCCTGGAGAAGACACATACGGTTCGCAAGGTCATCAGCTAGCCGCTAAGTCTGTGCTGGGCTTCCCAGCGCCTGGACCAGAGCTTCCTTCCGCTGCTGGGTGACCTCATTGGAAGGTGGGGTGTCTCCGAATGGGCCTTTAGTGCTGAGGGACAGGAGGGGCTCCCCTCCTTCGGGCAAGGCCTGCCCTGAGGGTCAGTCTCTGATGCCGAGGCTTAGTCTCCATTCCCTTCCCAGCTGGGTCCTTTCATTGCCGACAGAGTGGACAGTCAGCAACTTGGCTTTTTCCCTTCTTCAATGCCTTCCAGCTGGGCTGCTGGCTGAGCTGCCAGCGCCTGGCAGTCAGCTCAGGGTCGGGGCTTTGAAATGGGATCCCCCGGTGCCTGTGGTCCAGCGTGACCTCCCAGGCCACAGCAGGTGAGGACAGGGCCTGAAATGTAGCTCTCCTCTGACCAGTGCTGGCGTACAGGGTGGTGGGAGACGGGCTGGGAGAGGTGGCCTCTCAGGGTGGGGCGCTCTGCACTAAGGCGTGGGACAGTGGGCAGTTGGCAGGTACTCTGGTAACTGATCACATCAAAAGCGGCTCCTATCGCTCTGCCAGGGCCTGCAGAGCCTTTGTGGGAATTAGAAAAAGCCCTCCTGCATGAGGGGAGAGTAAGAGGCACCCTTGTGGGCAGATGCAACCCTACCCTGGGGCTCAGTGGGTGTCCTGTGCAGCCTCACCTGGCCAGCTCTCCAGGCACCACCCGCCTCCCTCTCCAGCCTCCCTGATACCCTTTGTGCTGTTGTTTTGCCCCACCCCATCATTCTCCGCACAGCAGCCAGGTGGGTCTTTTTAAAATGCAAATTGAACCTGTCATCCTTCTGTTCAAAACTCTTTGATGGAGTCTTCATGGCTTCCCACTGCCACTTCCAACCTTCAGGGTCCTGCAGGTCTGGCTCCAGCTGACCTTTCTGTCTCATCTCCTCTCCTCTCCTCCCCTCCCCTCCCTCCTCCCCTCCCCTCCCCTCCCCTCCCCTCCCCTCCCCTCCCCTCCCCTCCCCTCCCCTCCCCTCCCCTCCCCTCCCCTCCCCTCTCCTCTCTTCTCCGTTGGCCTCTTGCCATTCCTGTTCTGTGCGGAGCCCTCTCCTACCTCAGGGCCTTAGCACTTGCTGTTCTTAGAACTGGGCCTCCCTCTCCCCTTGTCGGTGCTTTCTCCTTCTTCAAGCCCCTTTCTCCAGGAGGCCTTCCTGGCTGACTACGCCCAGTCATCTACTCTTCCGGAACTGTGCACCGACTCTTAAAACATGTGCCTGTGGAAGCTTTATGTTTATTTCTGCGGTTTGATTGCTCTCTCTCTCTTCCTTGCTCAACTTTAAGGTTCATGAGGGCAAGGACCCTGTCTGTTTTTCCTCACTGCATCTCTGACACTAACCACAGTGTCTGTCATGGTGAATAGCTATGGAATGAACAGATGAAACCTGGCATGTGCCAAGTACTGGGCAGCTGTCTGTTCCTCTTTCATTCTTTTAAAAAATTCAGTTACTCATCTAATATGAGTTTACTCTCTCGGGGTGTCAAGCCTGTGCTGGAAATGACATAGCCCCTGCCCTCAAGAGGGAGAGAGACCCTCAACACAAATGCAGCAGCCGAGGTAAAACGTGCCATAGCAGAGGCTTTGACATGGACCCAGGAAGGCCAGTGCAGGGAAGAGGGTGTGTGCATTGGGTTTTGAAGGATGAGCAGAAGCTTTCCAGGCCAAGAAGACAGAGTGGCACAGGGTCAAGGACAGATTGTAGCATATCCAGAGGCTGGTGGCTGGGAGGGTTGAGAGCAGGGGTGAAGGAGCAGGGCTATGAGCTTCGGGGAGGGGAGAGTGGGAGTTGAGGGTACTGTCTGCAGGTCCCCAGGAAGCTGGGCAGCAGCAGACCCTGGGAGCGGGATTCCTGTGAGGGGGTGGCCTTGAGGGTGCTGGGGTGTATGGGGGTTGGGAGAGCTGTGGGGTGAAGTGTCTGCACCCCCAGAGGATACCTCCTCTTTGTTCTCCTCTATCCTGGCATCCCCTCGGATTTCTCCTGAAGAAAGCTTTGTGTGGCCAAAGCAGTTTGGAACTCCCCCCCCCCCCCCTTCCAGGAAATAGAGCCTGGTGGTCAGGTGTATGGGCTCTGGAACTAAACAGGCTCCTCCTGGCCACTGTGTGACTGAGGGCCGCACTCCCCTCAAAGCCGGTTTCCTCGCCTCCTAAGGCTCATGTGAGGACTGAATGAGCAATTGCTGATGCCACTGGCCCTGTCCTAAGCCCTTCTGTCAGCATTACCCTCATCCTCCTCCCCCACCCCGTGGGCTCCTTACCGAGTCCTCAGCCACGTGTTACAGCAGAGGAACTGAGGCAGAGAGGTTACATAATGTGCGCAGGGCCAGCAGTCTGCTGGTAGAGCTCACGCTCTCCCTGCTGGACCTCTCTCTGTGGTTTTGGGCAAGTTACTAGCCTCTCTGGGCCTTGTTCTCCTCATCTGTAAAAGGCCGCCATCGAGGGGGTTGCTGAGGATTACTGGCATCCTGCATACAAAGCACTTGAACCCTGTGCCGGGCTTCAGTAAGGACGGCATACATGTTAGCTAGTGTGTTATTGTGACGGGCGAAGCTGAGTTTCTGTGACCCCGTTAGCACAGGGCCAGGGGTGTGACGAGCCCCCTGAAGGTGATTGACATCACTGTATCACACACTTGAGATTCTGTGGTCCCTTGGAGTTTGGGACATGATGGCTCTGTTTCCCCCTCCCTGCCTCACCCCGCCTGCAGGCCAACGAGAACAGCCTGCTGAGCGCACAGCTCAAAGGCTTCCCCCTGCACCTGCACTCAAACCTGGCCCTGAAGGACTGCAGCATCAACCCCAGGTCCCCGCTGCTCTACGTGACGCGGCCCAGCGAGGTGGAGAAGGGCGTGCTGCCCGGTGAGGACTGGACCGTGTTCCAGTCCAACCACTCCACCTACGAGCCGGTGCTGCAGGCCAAGACGCTCTCCTCCGGCTCCATCCCGAACCTGAGCTCGGACGCCAACCTGCACGCCTCGCTGCACACCACGGTGGTCCAGGACCTGGGCCTCCACGACGGCATCCAGCGCGTGCTCTTCGGCAACAACCTCAACTTCTGGCTGCACAAGCTCGTCTTCGTGGACGCCGTGGCCTTCCTCACCGGCAAGCGCCTCTCGCTGCCCTTGGACCGCTACATCCTGGTGGATATCGATGACATCTTCGTGGGCAAGGAGGGCACGCGCATGAAGGTGGAGGACGTGAAGGTAGGGCCCGGGCGCCAGATCGCGGGGGGGGGGGGCGGGGGGGAGGGGGGCGGCCCACCTGCACACCTTCCTGTGCTCAGTCGGGACTTTGCTGTCTGCATCCTCCCTTGGCCGCTTGGCTTTATTAGTTACTTATTCGAAGCAAGTGTCATTTAAAACTATATCGAAGGATTGACTCTAGAGGAATTTGCCTCAAGAATGTATCTGGAGGAAGAGACCCAGCCATGGAGTCACAGATGGGAACTGTACGGGGTCGTTCACCCGCCTCATAATCCAAACACGATTTTTAACTCTCAGAAATGTTTATGTCAGTACCAGAGCTCCTACAAAACTCCTAAAACAAGAGCTAGAGCCGGAGTCATACACAAGGCGTATTTCAACTGAGGTCTGTGTAGACAGTGGAATGCGTGTGTTTAATTCAAAGTGTGTTTACCAAACTAAACTGTCTGTACAAGCGTTTGCAAACCAGGAAGTTTTACAAACGGCTCACTGCAAATTAAGACCATTATTCAGTCTTAGAGTTTTCATCTACTCACTGTTTTACTCAGAGTTATTTACAAAGGAAATAGTGGTAAATGGGGAATCGGTATCGGTTGCTGTGAATTGAGGGCAACCATAACAATAGCTCCAGTGAAAACAAAGCCGGGATTAAATTCTGCTGAGACACGCAGCCTCTGGCCGCCTGTCGCTCTTCTACCGGATTAGCAAGTGTCAGAGGCATATTAGCGCCAAACCAAGACTTCCTTTGATGTTGGGAGGAGGATTGGAAAAGAGATTTCCAAGAGGAATGCTTTTTCCGCCGAGTGACTGTGCTGTCTCCATCCTCTGATATCCCTGTTGGGACTGGCCCCGGGCCTGGAAGGAAGGCTGGGGTGAGGGGTCGGGCTCCTGCCTTGGTCAAGAATCAGTTCTCTACTCTTCCTCTCGCCTTGAGCAGATGGTGTTGGGAGTAGGCATAGTCTCGGGAATCAAGATTTGGGTCCAAGTTCCGATTTGACCCTCGTGGGTGACGCGGGCAGGTCCCTTCCCATCTCTGTGCCTCCGCTGCAAAGTGACAAGATGGGCGGATGAGAGGGTTGCAGGCTATTTTCTGACATCCCAGGCTTTCACAGAGGTGCTGGGGTGAAGCGTGAGGGGTGTGTGCAGACAGCCAGGCTCTGAGCCCTCCCGCTCCAGCCTCCTGGGGCAGGGCAGTGTTGCTTTGGTCTGCTTTATGAATCGTGTTTCCTGGTGAGATTTCTTAGGACCGTCTTCTTATGGCCCAACCTTGCTCTCTCCTGTGTCACCTGGGTCTTCGCTGCCTGTCCAGGGTTGACCTCATGTGGGAACCATGACCTCATGTATTCCCCATGAACCTGGGGCTGCCCTCTGCCTGGTTCTTATGGTCCCCATTTTAGAGTGGGAGGAATGCTAGCTGTCTGGAGTCTTTCTGTAAAAGGTATGAACAGAAGCGCCCTCTGCTGTTCTCTCAGCTCCGTGCAGATTGCACCACGCTTCGCCAGCCAGGGTCCCGTTTGCCTTAAATGTCCTTGTGAGTCAAAAAGGACAGAGTTGGGTTTTTTTCTTTAATCCCAAGCACAGGCCACACTGAGCCTTTCTTTCAGGACTGGCTGTCAGTGCACTTTAAATAAGGCCAACAGCAGCTGCTTATGCAGGGTTTGGCGAGGGCCAGGCTTGGACTTAGGCCTTCTGTGAGTTGCCTCATCGGACCCTCGCAGCAGCAGCCTTGTATGGTGGGCCTTGTTGTAAGTCCCTTTTTTTACAGAGCAGGGCACTGAGGTTCAGGGAAATGTAGTAATTCACCCAAGGCCACCCGGCTGGCGCGTGCATGTCCACCAGGCAGTGTGGCCACGGTAAGATGCTGGTGGTGGCCCAGGGGGCCAGGACATCCAGTCTGCCGTGTGTGGATAGCAGGCTCTTGCAGGTTTCTTAGCAGCCTTGTGTGTCATGCAAGGATATTTTGAGTCTTGATCCCAGAGTACAACTGTAGGTTTGTTTCAGAAGTGTCAACAACCCTTCATTGACTTGCAAAGCACTGGGCGTGCCATGCATGGGAACACTGCTTTGCTGGGTGCCCAGTACATCTTTGGAAAGGTCATGGTCCTTTGACATTGGCCTTGCATTCCCCTGTGAGGAGAAGTGCTCCACATTTGACACGTGAAGACCTGGGGCTTCCAGTGGTAGAGACCATAGACCACTGGTTCTCAACCTTTCTAATGCCGTGACCCTTTAATACAGTTCCTCATGTTGTGGTGACCCCCCCCAACCATAAAATTATTTTAGTTGCTACTTCATAACTGTAATTTTGTTACTGTTATGAATCGTAATATAAATACCTGTGTTTTCCGATGGTCTTAGGCGACCCACAGGTTCAGAACTGCTAGCAGGGTTGCCTGAGACCCTCAGAAAACACAGATATTTAATTTTGAGTAAGAGTCCCACGTTTTCTTTCTTTCTTTTTTTTTTTTTTAAAATATATTTTATTGATTTTTTACAGAGAGGAAGGGAGAGGGACAGAGAGTTAGAAACACCGATGAGAGAGAATCATCGATCAGGTGCCTCCTGCACCCCCCACCCCCACTGGGGATGTGCCTGCAACCAAGGTACATGCCCTTGACCGGAATTGAACCTGGGACCCTTCAGTCCGAAGGCCGACACTCTTTCCACTGAGCCAAACCAGTTTCGGCAAGAGTCCCACGTTTTCATTCCCACTGGGCCCCACAAATATTTAGCTGGTCCTGGGACAGGAGGACACTTTCAGGTCCTCAATGGGAGGAATGGGAGCTGCTGGATCCCCCTCACCCCTTTCTTCCTCCTCTGCCCGTCTTAGGCCCTGTTTGATACACAGAATGAACTACGCACACACATCCCAAACTTCACCTTCAACCTGGGCTACTCAGGGAAATTCTTCCACACAGGTAAGTGGGCCCAGCTGTGCCCTGCTAGCAATCTCCAGGGGCCGACACATCCAGACCCTCAGAGCACAGTGCCACGGGTAGCACGTGGTCTAACGGACCATATTAGGGGCGCATTTGATCCCTGTACCCCCCCCCATTCCCACCCCTGGCCAACAGCCCCAGGCAGAGGCCATTGGGGACAGCAACAGCATGCCTTGGCTCCCCCTGAGCATCCCTGGCTGCAGGCTGCGCTGTCCTGGGGAATGTCTCTCTCTTGTTACCCCCTCCACTCCACCTTTTAACATGATTTCACTATTCCTGCTTAAAGTGTCCTGGGTTTTAAAAGATCACAGAAATAAATAACGTCTGCTCCTGTGCTGTAGCTCAGATTCCAAGCTCTGGGGGCGTGGCATGGCCTCCTCCCATCCTGTGCACCTGCCCAGGTCGGAGGGCCTCCGGGCAGGTGGCCGGGCTGAGCTGCCTGTGCTCGGCTGCAGGTACTGACGCCGAGGACGCCGGGGACGACCTGCTGCTGTCCTACGTGCAGGAGTTCTGGTGGTTCCCCCACATGTGGAGCCACATGCAGCCCCACCTTTTCCACAACCAGTCCGTGCTGGCTGAGCAGATGGCCCTGAACAAGAAGTTCGCTGTCGTGAGTAAGATTCCCTCCGGGGCGGAGCCGGGCGGGCTAGGGCTGGGCTGGGGTCCCACGGCGGGCCTCTGGCTGCTCTCACAGGTCCGTGTGACAGCTCTTTATTGGCATCTTCGTAACCCCTGTCCCATGGAAGCCTCACAGAGACCCCAAGAGGCGGGTACTGATAGCCTCCCTTTTAGACAAGAAACTAAAGCGCAGGCGGCCACACCAGCTAGTGAGACTTCAACCCAGGCCCGTCTGTTTCCTGAGCCCAGGCTCTTCCCTTCAGGCCAGGATGGAGGCCCCTCAGCCAGGAGGGAACGAGGCTGGGGCTAGCTCTGCCTGGGCCACAGCCAATTCCAGGCCCCCGTTGGCAGGAAATGGCAGGAAAAGCCCCATTTTGTTCCTCGCTTCTGGTTGCTGGAGGGCACGACACTGGGCCGAGAGTTAGAGTCCCAGTTCAGCCAGGCCCTTTCTTGGAGACTCGGAGCATGTCCCCTTCCTCCTGGGCCTCCCTTTCCCGTCAGTATCACGAGGGCTTTGGCCCACTGCCCTGCTGCTCTAGCCCACTTGTGGGCTGATTTCTCTGTCCCATTCTGCAAAGGGACAGAAGGCCCAGAGGGGATGGGGCTCCTGCTCACCCTGCCCTGGCCCTCCTCTCCCCAGGAGCACGGCATTCCCACAGACATGGGGTACGCAGTGGCGCCCCACCACTCGGGCGTGTACCCTGTGCACGTGCAGCTGTACGAGGCCTGGAAGCAGGTGTGGAACATCCGAGTGACCAGCACGGAGGAGTACCCCCACCTGAAGCCGGCCCGCTACCGCCGTGGCTTCGTCCACAACGGCATCATGGTGAGTGGCCGCAGCCGGCAGGCGGTGTGCAGACACTCCCTCGGAGCCCGGCTCGGTGAGCTGTTAGCATCTGACACGTTTACAAGCATGTCCATCACTTTAGCTGCTGTGTGGAGCAGAGAATGTTGGGGACAAAGTGGGAGGCCGCAGATCAGTGAGGAGGTGCAGGCTTCCAGACACGAGATGGTGGTGGCTTGGATAGGGTGCATGCTGGGACGGGATCAGGTTCTGGACTTTCCTAGGAGTTAGAACAGCAGGACCTGCTGATGAGTTGGATGTTGGGTGCGGGAGAAAGATGAGTCCAGGATGACTCCAGGGTTTGGGGCCTGAATTGCTGAGAGGATGAGTTGTCAGCCCAGATGGGGCAGCTGTGGGGAGGCCAGGTTCATCCATCCATTATCTATCCATCCATCTCTCCATCCATACATCTATCCACACATCCACCCACCCTCCGCCCTCAATTAACTGCAGGACGAGGTGGTGACAAGACAGGTGAGTTCTCTGCTCTCTTGGAGTCCACAGTTTCATGGGAGGAGACAGGTAATAAACACCCCGGTCGCTCTTAGGAAGGGTCCTCCCTTCTCCGTCCATGCCTGGAGGTGCCAGCGCGCCTCTCTGTCCCCATCCCAGGTCCTCCCACGGCAGACCTGCGGCCTCTTCACACACACCATCTTCTACAGCGAGTACCCTGGAGGCTCCAGCGAGCTGGACAAGATCATCAACGGGGGCGAGCTCTTCCTCACCGTGCTCCTCAATCCCGTGAGTGCTCCTCTGCCCGCTGGCGGGAGGTGGGGCTGCAGTGCCTGTCTGCCCGGGGCAGGCCTCCTGGGCCGGGGAGCAGGCGTAGAGCAGGTGTGAGGGCCGGGAATTGGGAAACCCCCTCTCCAGCCTCGGCTCTGTCCCTGCTCACAGCATGGCCCTGGGCAGGGAATCGGAGCTTTTTTCCTTTTATAACCTCGCACTTCAGTCTAGTAGTGTTAGCCTTCTAAACCACGTGCTCTCTCCAGGCTTGGTGTGAGTGTATAAATATATAAGTGTATGTTAATGTACATAGTAAACAACATATAAACTATATATAATACACACATGTAAACTATTTACCTGAACTTCCTGGGCCTCTCTTTCCTTATCTGTAAGGTGGAAATAATAATTTGTGCTTTAGTATAGATATCAAGATGTTAAATAGATATCAAGTGGTGGTACTATTCAGTTTTATAACTAAATAAAACCTTATCTTTTATAACCTTATCTTCCATGCACCCCACCCCACCAAAAAAATAAAACCGAACATCCGAAAGGGTCAGCTTCCATCTCAGGGCTGTAGCAGTTGGTCAGTCACACCTGCATTCACCTGGCTGTGCCAGCCCAAGGTCACACAGGGAGATGGTGGATGGCCCGATGACCCTTGGACTGGTCATCGAGTGGCCCTTCAAGCTGAAGCAAGGCCAAAGGTCGGAAGTGGGTGAAGGTGGCTCAGAGGCTGACCAACCCCTGCCTCTCCCCCCGATTCCCCTCCTGGAGCAGATCAGCATCTTCATGACGCACCTGTCCAACTACGGGAACGACCGCCTGGGCCTGTACACCTTCAAGCACCTGGTGCGCTTCCTGCACTCGTGGACCAACCTCCGGCTGCAGACGCTGCCCCCCGTGCAGCTGGCCCAGAAGTACTTCCAGATCTTCTCCGAAGAGAAGGACCCGCTCTGGCAGGTGGGTGGGAAGTGGGGCCTGGAGCCTTGTCCCAAGGAGGGAATGCCCCCCCTGCTCACAGGCGCAAGCTCCAGACGTGGGCAGGGCTCAGCTCACACCCTCAGACTCTTGAGTGTAAACTCAGGTGTACATGGGCTCACTCACTTATTCTCATGCACATGTGTGTCCACCTCCTACACAGACCTACAGGCATGCACACTCGCACAGCCTCTGAAAAAACAGCAGTACAACTGTCATTGAATGTGATGTAGACTAGAGGAAGTAGAGAGAGCAACTGCCAGCCCAGTTTAGACTCAGCCCTCCCCACCCTCCTCACGCCAGCAGGCCCTGAGCCATGGGAAAGGGGCTGATGGGAGGGTGGAGGGAGACCGTTCTCGGGTAAGCCTGGCCCTGGGGACTGTCAAGAACTAGAAACAGAAGCTGGAATTAATGACATGCTCATAGTTCAGAGGTCCACAGACTGTGGCCCTGGCCTATTTATAGTGTTTCTGGGACCCAGCATCACCCAGTCCTGTATGTACTGCCTGCGCCCAGCTTTCAGGCTACACAGTGAAGCTGAGTCGTTGCCACAGAGACGGGATAGACTCCAAGCCTAAAATATTTACTAACATTTCAGAAGATTTATTAAACTTATAGTGCAAGTTCTTGACCCCTGGTTAAGACACATCTCAGACAGTTAAATTCAACAACCACTGGTGAATTCCCTTTGTATGACAGACACTGGGCTGAGCATTTTGCTAGGACTAACCAGAATGGCCCCTGCCCGCCAGCCGCCCAGTGTCCCGAGGTGGGATGTGACAAGACTCATATACGGTAGTAAAGCCCGTCAGTCAGGTGTGAGAGCCACAAATCCACGTGCCATGGGGCCCATTCATTGGGTTCTTGGCCCCCCTGACATCTCTCCCACTGTTGTTTTAGGACCCTTGTGAAGACAAACGCCACAAAGACATCTGGTCCAAGGAGAAGACGTGTGACCGCTTCCCCAAACTCCTCATCATTGGCCCCCAGAAAACAGGCAGGTCTCTTCTCTCTTGACCAGCCTCCGCCATTGCCTGCTGTCTCAGCCATGGAACCCTGGGGACTGCCTTGCCCTGGTCCCATTCCCCAATAACCTGCCCCCTCTTTCCCAGGAAGTAGGAGTAAAGTTGGGTGAATATGAATTGCCTGTCAATGTGGCAGTGGGAGCAGGGTGGAGGGTGGGGTGGGCATGGGATTCTTCAATCTGTCCAGAACCACCACAGCCTCAGGGAGCTCCCCCTATGTCCTGGGAATCTCCAGTCTAGGCAGAGAAGCCCAGAGCAGCTGCTCAGCAAGTGTGAGCAATGCCAGGCAAAACTGGTTCAGTGCAGAGAGGACTGCGATCAGTTAGTCATGTGATCAGTTAGTCATGTCTGCCAGAGGTGCAGGAGGAAGTGGTGACATGATTGCCAAGTAAGTATCTGCCATCCACACTCTCTAAGGCACGAACCTTCATCTCATAGCAAAAAACTCGGGACTCAGAGAAGTTAAGTGACTTCTCTAGCACAGTTAGGAAATGGCAAATCTAGGCCTTGAATCCTTGTTTCTGTGATCCCAGAATATACACTTTTTTTTTTTTCATTTTGTTAATTCTCATTGGAGGCTTTTTTTTCTATTGATTTTAGAGAGAGTAAGTGGAAGGGGAAGAGAGTGAGGAGGGGGGGAAGAGGGGAGAGAGACAGAGAGAGAGACAGAGAGAGAGACAGAGAGAGAGAGACCAGTGTAAAAGCCTTATCAATTGGTTGCTTCCCACATGAGCCCTAGTTGGGGCAGGGAACCTGCATCCCAGGTATGAGCCCTTGACTGGAATTGAACCAGAGAGACTGAGCCCCAGAGCACAGTGGAGAGCTAGAACCAGGCACCAGGACTGCAGACTCCGGGCCCTGGCCTCAGCCTCCTTCTGCCCCGCAGGCACCACGGCCCTCTACCTGTTCCTGGGCATGCACCCCGACCTCAGCAGCAACTACCCCAGCTCGGAGACCTTCGAGGAGATCCAGTTTTTTAATGGCCACAACTATCACAAAGGCATCGACTGGTGAGTGGGCCCTTCTGTCCACAGAGGGGCAGGAAGGCCACCAGAGAGCCTGCCCGGGAGGAGGCCTGCGTGGCCACAGCAGGAAGCAGCTGTGCTTGCTCACACGCAGCTAAAGTTCCTGTAAACAGGGACAGAGAGGGGTGATTCTGGAGCCATAGTGTTGGAACCTTGTCATGGACAGAACACTCGGTGACCCTCTGCTTTACTGCTCGGGGTCAGAGCCCAGCCCCTGCCTGGCTCGCACGGAAGCATCCTAAGTCCCAGAGGAGGCCAGGGACTCATCCAAGGTCCCGAGAGCTGGGGCCAGAGCAAGGGGCTAAAATCCAAGTGTTCTGGCCTGAGAGCTGGCCCGTCCACTGTGTTTGGCTGACCTCACAACCAAAGTGTCCTGTGGGTCCTTCTGAGGCGGCTCCCTAGCCTTCAGGGAGTCTCCTGGGGGGGGGGGGGGCTGACGCCGCAGCTTCCACCAGAAGCCGTCACTGAGGTTTCCTGGGTGTAGGCGCCGTGTGGGGACGGTGTTATGTTCCAATTTTTCAATTTACATCCTTCTCTCCTACTTGTCTTTTCTTACCTTATACATGTGTTCCTCTCTTGTATTATTGTTATGTCAGCAGTTTACCTGGGAGGAGAGATTATGGCAGTTCTTCCGTTTCGTTTTTTGGTATTAGTCTATGTGTATTTCTCTTGTTTTTCATCTCTCTATTTACCTACTTACCTACCTGTCTGTCTCTATCTCTAAAATGGCTGCAACTATCTAAAAGCTATTGTGGCCCTGGCCGGTGTGGCTCAGTTGATTAAGTGTCATCCCATCCATGCACCCAAATATCACTGGTTTGATTCCCGGTCAGGCACATGCCCCAGGGTGCATGCGGAGACAGCCGATCAGTATTTCTTTCACTCTGTCTCCCTCTCCCTTCCTCTCTATAGGAAAACAAAAAAGTAAAAATCAATAAAAACATATTTTTTAAAAAGTGAAAAAAAGAAATCAAACCTGCTGTGGTGAGATGTATTCTTGGAAGTCAGCGTTGTTCAGATTGCAGGGAGGGCTGTGCCGTGACACCATCTATTTAGCAGCCCCGTCAGCAGGGTCTGGGGCAGCATCCCATTAGCAAACACATCAATATGTCTGTGGCAAAGTATGTGAATATTTATACCAAGTAAGATTAATGTCAGCTTTTGCTGCCAAATGGATTCGCTACAAATGTGGAGAAAAGCTTCTGTTTTCAGAGCTATCTTGATCTAAGCATTACAATGGATTCTGGGCAGAAAGATGCATTTTATGAAGGAATGAGGAAGGAAGGAAGGAAGGAAGGAAGGAAGGAAGGAAGGAAGGAAGGAAGGAAGGAAGGAAGGAAGGAAGGAAGGAAGGAAAGAAAGGGAGGCAAGGTTTTGATTTCGTAGATGTGAAGGAGGTTGGGTGCAGGAACTACTGCCCCCATATGGCTCTGATGAGGGACATCCCTGGGACCCCCCTGGAGGACCCCTGTCTCACAGGTTAGAGTAGGGAATCCCACACTTTAGGATGGACCTCGTGCACTTTGGTTCCCACGAACCCCTGATAGTGTCCCTCCATTTTGCTTGAGTAGGTGCTCCTGGGGTTCTGGAATGTTCATTCAGTTTTTGAGGGGCCTTCAACCTGGAGGTGGTCTCAAAGGACTAGTGCGGACATTCACTCCCAGCGGGATACGGGAGGTTCATCTGGGAAACTGTCAGGCCGCTCAGTCCCAGCTCGCCCCCTAGTGGCCGTGGTAGTTAGGGCCTTGTCTGTTTTACTCTGCGAGCATCTGTTTAGGAGGGAGACATAACCCTTAAGTCTTCAGATCCTCCTCCCCCGAAGGACTTCCAGAAAGGAGGACTGCCAAGTACCATTCCTCTAGCATCATCCCTGCCAGAAGCAAGTCCTTGCTTGTTTGGGAGCGATGTGCCCTGCTTGCTTTCAGAAGTTCAACCCCCAGCGACCCTCGCCCTCTGTGCTGGTCCCTCAGCCCCTTCTGTAAGAGTTTTGACTGTGAGCCCCCGTTTGGGCTTCCTGCAGGTACATGGAGTTCTTCCCCATCCCCTCCAACACCACCTCTGACTTCTACTTTGAGAAAAGCGCCAACTACTTTGACTCGGAAGTGGCGCCCCGGCGGGCAGCCGCCCTGTTGCCCAAAGCCAAGGTCCTGACCATCCTCATCAACCCAGCGGACCGGGCCTATTCCTGGTACCAGGTGAGCCGGGTCGGAGCAGGGACCTGGTTGGGGGTGTGGGGCTTTGTCTGCTACTCAGCTACTCATTCATTCAATAAATATTTACTACCCCAGCCGGTGTGGCTCAGTGGTTGAGCATTGAGCCATGAACCAGAGAGTTGAGGTTCAATTCCCCATCAGGGCACATGCCCAGGTAGTGGGCTTGACCCCCAGAAGGGAGTGTGCAGGAGGGAGTTAGCCAATGATTCTCTCTCATCATTGATGTTTCTATCTCTCCCTCTTCATTTCTCTGAAATCAATAAAACAAGGACAACAAAAACCAAATATTTACTAGTCATTTGTATGCCCTGGCTTGGCTCCTGGGATGTGGTGGTGGGTAAGAATGGAGTCCCATCTCCATGGTGCTTCTAGCCTGGCAGAAATCCTTGGTGAATCCCAGCCAACAACTACCTGCACACCTTCCTAGCTTTGTCTGGGGTCCTGCCTCTCATTCTGATGCCAAAAAGCGGTGGAGGCTGGGTCTGCTTCGATTTGGTGCCCAGTGATCTGGGCTGATACTAACGGTGGCCCCTCACTGGATACCGGGAGGGGGCGGGCGGGAAGACAGAGGAGGACAAGATAATAGGACCTGCCATCCTCAGTGGAGGATGCAATGCCTGATCAGGTTAGGAAGTCACCTGGATTATACTCATGCCAGAGAGAGGATGACTCCCAGTCCTTCCTTGAGAATGAGAATTTTGATTTTGATAGTGTGACTTAATTTCTTCTGAGCACCGTTCCACAGGCCTTTTTGGTGGTGTCCTTCCCTGCCAACTATGTGATGTGCTGGGTCTGGGGAGTACCTGGTCTACTAGCCCATCCAGAAGGGCCTCCTCAAGCCACTGACCTGAGCCTGTGAACTGGGTGCTGATGGCTGTCTCCTCTCTGGGGCCTTGCTGTGCGCACAGCACTGGCAGGGGGCCGGCTACCGACCCTCTTTGCTCTCTGTCTCCCAGACCTCTCCCCTTCCTCTGAACGGGGTGCAACCCTCAGTGGGAGTATGGGGACAGGTGAGGTCCCCTGGTCGACAGGTCCCTGATTTCTGGACCATGGGAATTTTGCGGATGCTGAGGGCTCATGGCATTATTTCATGTGGTTCACACCTGGCATTTCCCCCTGTCCAGCTCTTCCAATCCTTCTGTCTTAGTCTCCTCAGACAGGCATAATGAAATATTAAACCACAGGAATTCATTTCTCATAGTTCTGGAGATAGAAGTCCAAAGTCACGATGGCACCAGTTCAGCCACTGATGAGGGTGCTCTTCCTGGCTGTTAGATGACAGTCTTCTTCCTGAGTCCTGTTCGCTGGCGTCTCTCCTTATCGGGCCACTAATCCCAGCGCCAGGGCCCCACCCTCGTGTCCTCGTCTCAGCCTCATTACCGCCCCAGGGCCCCGTCTTCAGTATTATCACATCGGGGCTCGGGCGTCCACATACAAATTTGGGGAGGGGACATTCAGTCTGTCACACCTGAGCTACATAAAGGAGACGTTTTAATTTGGCACAAGTGGCACGTAAGTCCTTCCTAACGTTGCTAGACTGTCTTCAGCAAAGAGCGCGAGGTTTGGGGTCCGGGTCTGTAGCAGATGTTTGTATCTGACTGAGTTGGAGAACGTTGCATTATTTTTATTGTATTTATGAACTTTCTATGTGCGACAACTGTTCTAGTTGTTCTTTCATGGAGGGGATAGTGGGTTTTCTTTAGAAATTACTGTGTGTGAATAAGGAAGACGAGTCAATGTAAAGAAGAGCATGTTGACAGAGGCCTATGCAGGCAGTTTGTGGAAATTGCAGAAATTACAAAGATGGTTTGCAAATTACCATGGTTAGGAACCTGATCTCCTCCAAACCGTGTCTTGCAAAGATGAGGAAACTAGGGCGGGGGAGGGGGGGGGCGGGGGGGGGGGCAGGGACTTCCCTGAGGTCAGATGTGAAAACGCTAGACTTTAACCCAGGGCTCTGGCGGCCTCATGGCTGCTCGCCCACTCAGGCTTCTTCCTGCTTGCCTTCCAAGTAGGACCTGCTGACCCTCTCCCTTGCCCGCAGCACCAGCGAGCCCACGATGACCCCGTGGCCCTGAAGTACACCTTCCACGAGGTGATCACAGCCGGGCCCGACGCGTCCTTAAAGCTGCGCGCCCTGCAGAGCCGCTGCCTGGTGCCCGGCTGGTACGCCACCCACATCGAGCGCTGGCTCAGCGCCTTTCACGCCAACCAGGTAGCCGCCTGTCCCTCCCCCGCTGTGGCTGGCAGAGAGCCGCCACACCTCTCCCACCAGTCACGGGGCCGGAAATGCCATCCCTGGCGACTTAAGCCTTTGGGGCCCTCCTAGGTTTCAGTCTTCTTTATCCCAAGGTTGCTGTGTGAGAATTCCCCAAGTCCTTGTTCCGTCACAACAGAGGCTTGTTCTTAAGGGGACCCGGAAAGCCCTGGGAGGGGTTTGGGGTGTGGTGACGGAGGGAGAACTTGGTTGGAGAGGAAGGCAGGGCCAGATCGCGCGGCACATTAGGGAAACGTGGAGGACTAGGGCAGGAGAGTGACTGGGCCAGAGAAGCCCGAGGAGAGGCTGAGAGGGCAGCTGTGGGGATGGGAGGAGGGATGACCTCGGTCAGGGAGGCGGGCAGAGACCAGGAAGCTAGGCTCAGAGGACAGAGGGTCAGAGGGTCAGGGACGCCCGCCATTCAGAGGCGGGAAGGTAGCAGACTCTCCAGAGTGCGGGCCCTGGTTTGTAGCCATAGCTGCTGACCCAGAAAACCGGGCCCCTTGGCCATAGGAGTCCAAACAGGTCCAGTCGATGCCTTTATCTTTCTTTCTTCCAGATTCTGGTCTTGGACGGCAAACTGCTGAGAACAGAACCTGCCAAAGTGATGGAGACCGTGCAGAAGTTCCTCGGGGTGACCAACACCATTGACTACCACAAAGCCTTGGTGTGAGTGGTGCTTGGCCTTTGCACGGGGTTTCCTGAGAGGCACCTGGGCCAGACACCACAGTGTTGGGTGGTTATGGGAGAGACACAGGTCAATTAGCAGCAACCAGTGTGTGAGCACGGACGCATGTCCTTGATGGCAGTTTAGCAGAAAAGCTACTAATAATGACTTACGTCACTTGTATGAATCTGTCCCTGGTCGGTCCCACTCCCGGTTTCCTGTTCAGTCCGGGCTGGACATTTCCACATGTTTCGTCTAAGTAAGTTAGACCAACAGGGAGGAGCCCCAATTCCCACAGGGTTTCTTAGTCTTGGATGATGACTTAGTGTAATTTAGGAGAAGTAAACCACAGATGCTGCTGAGGGCCAGTAATCCAGGCACTCAGGAGCCAGTGCAGATGTGTGGATAGTGCCCTCCCCAGGTGAGTAAGTGCCAGCGCGTGCTGCCGGGGCTTAGGGCTGGGCGAAGGCCGCCTCCTGGTGCTGGGTCACAGCCAGTGGCATCCTCAGCTGGCCCGGGGGGTCAGAAAGGAGGAATAAAGCACCTCCCCTGGCCGCCTCCTTAGGAAAGTCTCGCAGCAGGAATGTGCCCTTCTCACTGTCGTGGAAGCTGAAGGTGGGGAAGGGAAGGCAGTCCCTCACTTTGAGGCAGAAGCAGCGAAGGGTATGGGCTGTGATGTCACAGATGCCTGGGTTAGGACCCAGGCCCATGACTTCCTTAGCTGTGCGACCTTGAGAAATGTCTTCACTCCGTCAGGCCGCACGTCCTCACCTGAGAGTTGGGGACAGGTAACGATCCCTACCTCCCCAGGTCGCTGTGCTCTATGAAAGCATTCACGTGGAGCTCCTAGCTCGGTGCCTGGCATGTAACAATGAGGCTGCTGTCATCATCATCACCATCACCATTGTCTCCTCCTAGCCCGTGCCCATTCAGAAATCACATTTCCTTCACCAGCCAAATGTGCATTCTGTTTTCCTGCTGTCCTCATGCCCACGAGTCTCCTCGCCTGGGGCTGAATTCTGATGCCAGTGTGCCTCCCCTCCCTGTGACAGCTTCAGATCTCATCTCCCCAAAATGCCTTTGAAGGCCCAGCATGACTTCAAGTTCCAAAGGCAGCCTTGCGCTGTCATTTCTGAAATTCACTCCAAAAAAACCCCAAAACTTTCCAATGATGGCATGTTTAAATACAACTGCAGATGTTGCAATTCTTCATAAAAATACAGTTCCTTAGGAAAACAAAACAAAACAAAACAAATACTAAGAACCTCGCTAAACTGCCCCCTTCGTTGGATTCATGGGTAAAAGAGTGCTGCTCACCCTGGGCTGGGGAACGCTTAGGAGAGGTGTCCGGGTGCTGTGGAGGTGGGGGTGCCCATGTTATGGATTCATGTAGGATCTGGGGCTGCCAGCCCAGAGACCGGGAGGCTCAGCCACGTGAGCCGCCGCCCAGTGGGAAGAAGGGCAGGCGGGCTTAATGGAGTCCGGGACAGAACGTGGGCCAGCAGGTGCAAGTGTCAGCCCCAGGCAATCGGTGGGCTCCAGAGGGCACAGTGTGAGGGCGGGGGCGCGGACTGGGGGGCATTTGTAGTCTAGGCTCTGCCTCAGTGGGAAGGAGGTGGACTGGGCCATCTCCCACCCCTGACTTTCCCCCCTCCACAGGTTTGATCCAAAGAAAGGATTTTGGTGCCAACTGCTCGAAGGAGGAAAAACCAAGTGTCTGGGCAAAAGCAAGGGCCGGAAATACCCGGAGATGGACTTGGACGTAAGTGGAGGACACGCTGCCCGCAGCAGCTGGATACGTGGACGGGGCCCCTGTTCGGGAAGGAGCCTTCTGTCCCCTTGACCTCAGCCCAGCACGTCGATGGCTTTCTGGATGGTGTTCTTAACGATGAAGAAATATGGGTTGGGTTGTGGTGGATCAGAAATGATTTAGTCAAAATGAGTTTTAATTACCTTCTTTGGGGAAAGAATGCCACAAGGCTCCAAGGATGCCTCAGGCATGTTCTCTGGCTTCAAGGCACTCCTAGTCTGGGAAGGAGGTGAGTCACATACACCAGGAAGTAGAATACAGGCAGGAAGTGCTCCGTGCAGTAGGAGAGGTCCCCAAAGTGCTATGGGAATTAGGGTTAGGGTTGAGGTTAGGGTTTGAGGGGTCTCTGGAGTTGGGCCTGAAAGGGTGGGGCCCATTTGGATCTGTGGCAGGGAAGGAAGGGCAGGTACAAAGGATATAGGGGCAAAGTCACACGATGTGACTCCTTATGTTTGCCCCTGGTTTTTGTGTTTAGTTTTTTAATTGATTTCCATGAGGAACGGAGATGGAGAGAGAGAGAGAGAAATATCAGTGATGAGAGAGGATCATTGATTGACTGCCTCCTGCACATCCCAGTCTTGGGACTGAGCCTGCAACCTGGGAATCAAACCATGACCTCCTGGTTCATAGGTTGACGCTCAGTCACTGAGTCACACTGGTCGCACTCGCCCCTGGTTTTAACTCCTTCTCCCTCTTCGCTGTATAACAAGAACTTGTCCTCATGTGCTCCGTTGGGTGCTCATACTAGGTAGGAGTTTTCTTTTGGAGGCTACCATTTTAAGAAGCATGTGAGCAAGCAATGGGCATAGGGATGGTGCCAGCAGAGGGTGGTCTTAAAGAGGGGTCCCTCTGAGTCCGCGCATCACCGCGATCTGAGCTCTCCTTCCTGTTACAGTCCCGCGCCTTCCTGAAGGACTATTACCGGGACCACAACATCGAGCTCTCCAAGCTGCTGTACAAGATGGGCCAGACACTGCCCACCTGGCTGCGGGAGGACCTCCAGAACACCAGGTAGCCGTGGCCGCCACGCCGGACTGACGTTAGAGATGGCAGGGACGTCCCGCGGCACGCCGAGCCAGACCGACCTGCAGAACGGGAGCTGGGCCTGGGCTGGCCAAGCACGTCTGAGCAATATGCTGCCGAGGCCCAGGCCGGGCCGGGAGACCCAGGCAGGCCCACCGCGCCTCCGAGCATCCAGCGCCGGGGCTGTGGCCGCCAGGACCGCCTTAGACACCAGAGGTCCGTCCCGCTCACAGCCGCCAGGGGAGGCCACTCCTGGTAGGAGGGGTCCGTGAGACTCTCTTTTCTGCCCCTCACTGTGTCCTACCCGCCAAGCCCTCTCCTCCGTCCCTCAGTGTCAGCTGCCACATTTCCTGTCCCCCAGTCCGGAAGGGAGAAGAGCCCCGCTGGGCCTTTTGCCAAACCAGGGAGCGAGACGGGACTGTTTCGAGCCAGGCCCTCCCGAGGGGCCAGCTGGGGACCAGAGTCGGGCACCAGGCTGGATGTGAGGGCGGTACCTCGAGAGAACTCCGAACTTCACATACGTTCTGGGTCAGACCTCACATCTCACCCCCCTTTTTGGGGAAAGAACCGCTGATCCCTAAAGAACCCACCCAGTCCTCAAGGCCTCCCCAGGGCCCTGGGCACTGCCATGCCGTTCAGACCCAGAGACCCAGGCCTCAGTCCACCCCTTCCACCCTGGGGCCTGACACGCGTGGCGTTTCCTGTGGTAAAAGGCTGAGGCGGTTCAGGAGTCTGCCGTATACAGGTTCCAGTGTACATACGTGTCCCCACACCCACTGCCTCGGCCCCTGGGGACACTGCCACCCACGGCCTTGCCCAGCGACCTGTGGCTGAGGGTTCGAGAGGCCCCTTAACCTCTCCAATACTAAGAAGCTAAAGTATTTTAATATTTTGTTTTTCTTCTTGGTGCCAGAGTTTATACTTTGGGTGCTGGGGTCGCACTGTGTTATACATATATATATATATATATTATTTGTATATATATATTATATTTTTTTTGGTTGGGTTTGTTTTTAATTCAGTCATACAGAGTGGTGGCACGCCCCAGGCCCAGAGGTGTTTCTCCGTGCGGGAGGGAGGCGGGCGTCCTGGCGGGCCGGGCCGTGCCGGGCCCGGGGGCTCTCTGGGCGCCCAGGCGGACGGAGGTGGCGAGGTCCGCGGGGAAGACCGCTTTCCCCAGGAAACCTGGGGTTTTGGCCAAAGGAAACGGCGGGCTGGGCGGAGCCTGTCCCCCTCATGGTGCTAGGTGGGGAGCTGCCCGGAGCTGCCGCCGCGGGGCCTGCAAACTGCGGGGCTTGGCTGTTTTCTGGTTGGGGTCTGCTCCTGCCCCCTCTTAACAATGTGAAGGGACTAAACCGGGGCTCTCCCAGCCCCTCCCACTGCCAGTCCAGCTCTGGGCTGACCCCCAGGAAGGCCTTTCCGAGCCTCCCTTGTTCCGAGCCGCTGGCCCCTCGAGGCTGGAAGGCCCTCCGGGTGCGGAGACGACGTCACAGCCGGCTGGGACAGGGCTGGGGACCGATGTGCAGCGCCTGACGCAGTCAGTGCTCTTCCTGCTGTGCCACTGCCTCTGAGCCTCCTCTCCCCACCCCGCCACGTCCTGCCCTCCCTCTCCCTTAGACACTCACTCCCGGACAAACCACTCCTCCCCAGCAGGTGCCTTTGAGCTTCTCAGACCTCCATCTGCATCCCTGTCTTGCTCGCCTCACCTCGAAAGGCCCTTCCCAGCCTGCGGGGCCCTGGTCAGTCTTGGCCCTGAGCCAGTTCCCTCCCCAAGTTCACTGGACGAGAGGGTTGGGCACTCGGGGCCGCTGCGTGTGGTTTCCTGGTGTACCCAGAAGCGTACCCATGGTGTTCCTGGCCGGGCCTCTGGGCCTGGGAGTCCTGAGCACGATCAACCCCACAAGGGGCAGGCGCCATGTCCGGCCGGGCGGCCTGCCCGCCTGTACGCACAGAGGACCTGCCCGTGCGGAACCAGACTCCCCGAGGGCAGCAGTGACTTCCTGGGCCACGTCCCGGGCCTGGGCCTCACTTCCCACCTGTCAGCGAGGGCGAGGGCTCCGGGACCTGACGACCTCCCAGCAGTCTGCCCTCTGGGCCTGGATACCTGCCTGCCTCCCCCTTGGAGCTCTGAACACCTGAGGGGCCGGCAGCTCCCCTTCTCTGAGCCCCGGGCCCGGCCCGAGGAAGGACAGGCAGGGGTGAGACCTGTGGGAGCAGAGGAGACCCTGGGGTTGTCCAGGCCCTTCGGGGAGGCTGGGCACAGGCCCTGCCTCATACAAACCTGGTCGCTGCTGTCACTTCCTTTCCCACTGACAAGTGTTTCTCCAGGACCCACTGAGGCCGCCGGGGTTATGAGGACAGACAAGTCTCCCGGGCGCCCAGCGCTGAGCACAGGCCCCCGTCGGGGGGAGAACCTGGGTCAGTGAGCACAGCAGCAGCAGCTTAGTGCTCCCTGACTCTCTGTAAGGGTTTGGCCAGAAAGGGGGGGTGGGGACAGGGAGGGGGTGGAAGTAGCTTAAACCCTGTAGATGACGTCACCTTCCCTTCTGCTGACCCCACCACCAGCCCTCGCCCCACAAGGCGGATGCTGCGAGGAAGCCAGCTAACGAACGCCTCAACCGCTCTCGGCTCTAGAGCCACCGGCAGGGCAGGCGACTTGTGATGGTGGACGAATCTGAACTTTAAAGATGGCCCTTCCCAAACCCCTAAGTAGGAGCAGCCAGTGTCCGCCCGGTGCAGGGCTGAGGTCTGTCCGTGTTTCCCGTCGCCTGGATTTAGAATGAACGTTTTGGGGCGTTAGTTTTCTCTCTTTACATTTCTGAACCAGCTTAAAAGTAAAAAAAAAATCATGAGACTTCACCCCAAAATGCTGCAGGCTGCCTCTATTAAGACAGGACATTCTTCTGTGTGGTGGTCCAATATCTCACCTGAAACAATAATTTCTCTCATCTGCTCTCCAACCCGTGTTCTCGTTTCCCCCAAATAACTTACACCTGGTTTGGAATTTGCATCCAAGCAAGGGGCACTCACAGCATTTGTGACTGTGTGTAAAGCTCGCTAACGTGGGAAAGTCCTGTGCACTTGGAGTTTAAAACGCCGTTGCTTCGGCGGCCAGCAGGCCTGATGCTCGGGGCGGCTGCGCTCTGCACTGTCCTCCCGGCGGCAGGTCAGAGCCCAGCCCCTGTATTGTCACCAGCACCGGAGGCTGGTGGAGGTTTGCCTTGGTGCTGACTGGACTCCACCCTAAGGTGCCCCTCTGCTGCCACCTGTACCAAGTGCCAAACCAGCAGAGGGGCTGGCGGGAGCTCGGGGGAGGGCGGGAGGCAGTCCCGCAGCCCAGCCTGGGTGGGGGGGAGTGGCGGGGCGGGCCTGGGGGCCCTCTAGAAATGGGGGCTATGTGCTTGGAGGCCAGACCAAGGCGAGTTGGGCCTCTTGGGAATGAGATGTCCCCGGCTCAGAAGAGGCTTTCCTCCCCTTTGATGCTGGTGATGGACCACAGGGCACCAAACTGCATGTCTGTCTCTGTCTCTGTCTCTGTCTCTCTCTCTTGTGGTTTCTGGGTCTTCAGTTCTCGGAGGCCCGTGGTCAGTGTGCACTGGACTAGCCAGGCCCCTGGGATGTGCCAGGGAAAGGTCTAGCTAGGGAACCACCCTCCTCCCCCATCCCCCATCGTGGTGTAAGGAGAGAGCACTGGGCTGGAGGCAGGAGGTGGGCGATTTCCACCCAGCTCAGTCCCCCCATTTACAGACCGAGCAGCCGGGGTTTTCAAATGTCGGGAAGGAAGGGGGCTGCCCTAGTTGAAGAGGATGCAGGGCCCAGGCGGCCCCCTCCCCACCCCACTCCCCGCAGGCGATGCTGGCTTCGGGGTCTGCACCAGCCTAGACTGGAGATATTTTCAGCTCCTGGAGGAATGGGCGTGGGAGAATGTCAAGGGCTTGGGGAGACTCTGGCTGTGTTTTATCCTAAGTTCCTCCCTCTCGTCCTCTCTGTGGCCCGTGAGGGGAATGAGGGAGGAGAGGGTTTTCTATGACTATGCTAGCTTTTATTATCAGCAAGAGGGCTCCTTTTGTAATTTGTGCATGAAATTCATGTCATTTCCTGGGGAGAGGAGAGGGCTGACTGGAGAGGGTGGGGGGCACGCTGGGGGAGCAGGCCCGGGTTTCCTTCCCTTGGGGCGGGGAGAGGTGTGGAGAGGGGGCACTACCCAGCTCACCTGATCAGGGCTCTCAAACCAGCCGTTTTGGGTTGTGTTAACCGTGGGAACCTTCCTCCATTAATGTACAATATCGAACTAACTGCTAATAAAGTGGGGTTCCGTTTGTACCCATTGGTCATGTCTGTCTGTCCGACCTTTGCAGGGAGGGTACAGATGTTTGCTGCATGGCCACTCGGCCCCCCTTTGCTATCTCCCCTCCCCCCCACCATACACATACACACACACACACACACACACACACACACACACACACACACACGGTGACTGTCAAATCGGAGGTCATTTCCATGGCGTGTGAGATAGCTTCTCCAGAGAGCAGACCTGTCCTGGCAGCCAGCCAGGTGGGCTGTCTCCGGTGACCAAGTGCCTTCAGACCTGCTGAATGGTGACCAGTGCCTTGCCCTCCTATGGAGGCTCAGAGTCTAGAACCAGTTCTGCCACTAATGTGATTGGGGACAGGTCACTGTTACCTCTTGATCCTCAGTTTCCCTCATCTTTTAGGGTGAGGGTTCTTGTCCCAGCATTACGAAGGGTTCGGCAATCAGGAGAAAGGCTGTGCGTAGGTTCAATAAGGAGCCAACCCACAAAAGATAGTTTTGAAAGGCATTGGGGGTCAAAGAAGCTTCAGCTAAAGGAGCTAAAGACTCAAGTTCTTAGTTCTTGGTCCCCCTAGTCTCAAGATCCCTGCTTTTATTAACACAATTTGTCCTAAGGCAAGGTGGAAATACTATACTTCAAAGGGTAGGGTATACAGAAGCATGGTTAGATTGGGGAATAGCCTACAGCTGTTCAGATGTTTGGCCAACAGGAGGCAATAACAAGAAGATTAAGAAGCTCAGCTGTCTGGCAGTAAACAATCATCCTATTCTGGTTTGGGGGAAGTGTCTTTCCAACCATTCCAACAGGTAATTACATATGTGACTCAGTCCTTGTTGAGCCCCCAAGTCTCTTCAACATTTTGATAAAACTCTTATAATTATGACATGCTGGAATTGGCTCCCGGCTTTAGGGGTTTGGAAGGAATTGGACTTTGTGGCTGTCCCTGGAGAAGTTGCTTAAAATACCAGATTCCCAGGCCATACTCTCAGAGTTTTCTTTCTGGCAGATGGGGGGGAAGGGGAGGGCAAGCCTGCATTTTAACATCCTCTCCAGCAGCAGAGGCACCCCACTCTGGGAAACTCTGGCTCAGATGAGTTCAGAGTCCCTCTGTCCAAGGAACAAAACAAACGACTTTCTAGCCCTCCCAGCCTGGTTGTGATTTGCGGGAGGGGCCCTGGCCAGCTGTCTGCAATGCCAGTGTCTGGTCCTCTTCCTCAGAACCTCCTGCAAGGCTTTTAAAATGCACATTCCCCGGTTCCCCCGAGCCAGCCAAAAACCCAGCAATGTGCACTTAACACAGCCCGCCCCCGTGTGAGCCAGGGAAGTTACAGAAATGTGGGTGCTGGGAGGGGCCTGCTGGGACCCCGCTGGGAACACCCCAAAATGCCAGCCCCAGCGGCACAACAGCCACGCCGGCAGAGACCACCTTGGGGGCTGTCATCAGGGAGCTCGGTACGTCACCAGCAAGAACACGGCAGAGGCTGCTCTACTGGGAACAGACCCAGAAGGTGGGATACGGAAGGGATGCCTGCGCCAGGTAAGAGGCTGGGCCACATCAGACATTGGCAGCTTTTACAACAGCACGATTCTTCCTTAAAGGGGAAATGTCATTGGAAACCAAGTGAAGGCTGGGTGCTCTGGCTGGAGTGAGGGTGAGGGTCTGGACTCTGATCAGCTCTACCCCTCCTCCCTGTCCCCCATCCTGGCTGGAACCCTAAGATTCCCTGAAGCACATTGTGAAAAGCCAGCCTGGCTGCTCTCGGAGGCCCCAAGAGCTTTGCAAGTCTAACAAAAACACATGAGAGCCCCTCACCCCAGCAGAGGGGAGTTCCCTCAGGAATCCTGAGCCCTCAGGGCAGTCCAGGCTCCACAGGTGGGCATTTCCTTCGGAGAAGCCCTGGCTCCTGGGCACAGGGCAGTGTGTTTCATGATAGCAAAGCACTGGAAACCACCTTCCTGCCCATCCCTGTGGGGGCGGCTGCGGAGCCTCCAGTGCAGCCACGTGCTGACAATGCAGCTGAGGACAGTCCTGCCGGGGTCCTTTACAGTGTGACCATTGTGGGAGAGAATACTAGACCGTGTATTTTTTCTGGGCTGTATCTATAATAATGAAAGGGCAATATGCTAATCAGACTGGTCGTCATTCCCGGGTGCCAGTCGGAAGCTGGTGCCGGCAGCCTGTACGAATTCTGTGCATTGGGCCTCAGTAGATTTCTATTTCCCACACCAAACTGGTAACAGGAGGGTGAGGGGACAGGGAAGAGGGGTTTTCCTAGGGGACTTTACTTTGGCTGAAACTTTTTTTTTTTTTTAAAGGAAGATAATCTATTCATCGGTAGAATGAAAATGTTCTAATAAAAATAACTGGGAATAGGTGAAGCAGAAAGAGGTGGCTCCAGGCAGCTGTCCACTGTGAGATGTGCCAGGAAGGGTGACACTGCTGTCCTTCACCCGCCCGCAGGCTCCCAGCGGAGCTCAGGGCCTGAGCTGAGGAGCCTGACTTGCTGTGTGACTCTAGGAAAGTCTCCTCGCCTCTCTGGTCTTCAGAGCTCAGCGTCCACAGGCCCACAGATGGGGCTTCGAGTTAGCACCATCAGTCTTGGGGCAGACCAAGGTTGTAGGAGAAGGACACAGCCTGTGCCATTCCTGACAAAAACTGGTAACGTGAATCTAGCCAGGAGGAAACGCCAGACACATCATGTGAGGGACAGTTATCAAATTAACTGGCCTGGCCGCCGAAGATGTCAAAGTCGTGAAAGTAAAGAAATGCTGAGAAATGATTCAAGATTAAAGTCTACTAAAGGGGCTCGGCACGCAAATGTCATAGGTGACCCTGAAGAGGCCCAGGACTAGGAAACAGTGAGCTATGAAGGATACCATAGGGACAACTGGCAAAACGTGAATGCAGACTGTGTGGGTTGGAGAATAATACTGTATCAATGTTAAATTTCCTGATTTTGATTATCGTACTGTAATGTAAGAGTATTTCACTGTGCTTGCAAAGTACACACTGAAATATTTACAGCTAAGAAGAAAGAAAGGGAGCTGAATTTTGACTCTTACTCTAGCACAGTGTTTCCCAAACTTTTGACATATGTGTACCCCTTCTATAATTTTCGTAACGCTGAGTACCCCTCATACTCATGAGAATGTAGAATTAGGCACAGCTAAACACGGTGCAGTGCATATCCCCACCAAACTCAGGTGCAACATGTACCCCCACCAAGCTCTACCCCTACCCGCAGGGGTTCGCGTATCACACTTTGGGAAACACTGAATCTAGCGGGTCAGACTTATCTGGTACAGTTCAGAATATTTCCACCAGGGGGCGATATCACACCATCTCGAGGCTAGGTCAGCGTGAACCTCCCTATCGAAGAGGGGAGGCTGGAGGGTGTGATAAAATGGTGGTGGGGTAATAATACTATAAATAAGAATATCAAATTAAATAACATGAATAATAATAAGTATTTCTCACTCTGACTCAATCAGATCCTCAGTAATATCGCTTAATCATCATGACAACCCTCTGAGGTAGGTAGGTATCAATCTCATGGCAAGCAAAACCTGGACATTTTGTGCAAAAGTTAGGAGTTGGACCCTTACCTCACACCATATACAAAAATTAGCTCAAAATGAATTAAAAAAAAACCTAAATGTAACAGCTGAACTATAAAACTATTAGAAATAAACTAAAGTGCACATCTCCATGACCTTGAATTTGGTCATTGTTTCTTAAATATGACACCAAAAGTACAAGCAACAAAGGAAAAATAGATACATTATTTTTCATTAAAATTAAAAACTTTTATGCACGAAAGTACACTAACAAGAGAGTGAAAATACAATCCACAAAATGGGAAAAAATATTTTCAAATCCTATGTCTGGTAAGGGCTTACTATCTGAAATATATAAAGAACTCCAACAACTCAATTTAAAAACGAGTAAAGAATTTGATTAGACACTTCTCCAAATATATACAAGTGGCCAACATGAAAATATGCCCAACATTCTTAGTCATCAGGGAAATGCAAATCAAAACTACTTCATACCTATTAGGATGGCTATAACTCATTTTAAAAGGAAAATTAATTTGGATGAGGACATAGAGAAATTGAAACTCTCATACATTGCTGGTGGGACTGTAACAGAGAGCGGCCTCTGTGGAAAATAGTTCCTCAAAAAAACCCACAAAAACAACCCAAGAACATTATTCACAATAGCCAACGCTGAGAACAACCTAAGAGTCCATCAGCAGGTGTCTGGATAAATAAAATATGGTATGTGTACACAGGGAAATGTCATTCAGCAAAAAAAAGGAATGAAATTCTGATAAATGATAGAACAGGAATTAAACTGGAACACATTATACTAAGTGAAAGAAGCCAGACACAAGAGGACAAATATGTGTGCCTCCACTTATACGGGATATCTGGAACAGGCCGATTCAGAGACAGGTCGCTTAGAGGTGACCAAGAGCTGAGGGGAGAGAGGATGGGGAGTCATTGTTTCATGGGTGCAGAGTTTCTGCTTGGGGAGGTGGGAGGTGGGAAATGTTGCCAACAGAGAGTAGTGATGGTGGCACAACAAAGTGGATGTAACGAATGCCAGTGCATTGTACACTTAAAATGGTTAAAATGGCAAGTTTTGCCACAGTAAGAAATACATATATAGCACAAAAGGCAGCTCTTAAAAAAAATTGAGATGTAATTCACATACCATAAAAGAATGCTTTAAAATGCACAGTTAGTTCAGTGCTGTGTAGGCCTAGTCACAAAGCTGTGCAAGTATCACCGCTAGTTCCAGAATATTCTATCACCTCAGAAAGAAAGCTCATATCCGTTAGCGGTCATTCCCCATTCTTTTTCCTCCCGGCCTCTGGCAAACACTACACTACTTTC